AAGCGCCTTTTGCAAGAAAGGTTTTGTAACAAATAGTCACTTGTCCCATTAAATTGATAATTTGTAGTTCAGTAAGTCCGTCTAAGTTCCATTCAACTCCGGAATTACCGTCATATGACTTTTGAGCAGGTAACTTTTCTTCGATCTAAAAATGATGGTCGAGGATAAAATTTTGGAATATTTTGATAATCAGTTTTTCTAAGTTTATTGATAGAATCAAATTTCTCATCAATAAATTGAGATTCTATCTCATTAATAGTATTGATATTTTTAGAGACATGAAATTTTTTTAACCGATTGACAAGTTCTGAAAGAACTTCATTTTCTGTTAAGAGAGTTGAAGATTTTCCAAAAGTAGGAATTAAATCATCATTTTTGAATATTGTTGAAGAAGATGGTTTTGATAAATTCTTATCTTTGCTTTTACTGTCTCGATATTCTGTAAAAGAATCCTTTTGAGCAGTAGAAGTTTTAGATTCAGAATTAGATTTAATACAATTGAGTTGAGAACACATAGATTGAAGAACAATATTTGTGAAATTGTTCTGAGATTGAATATTTTTAATATCCTTAGCAACAATTTGAGAATCATCAAGTCGTTCTTTTGGATTTGGAATTTTTTTGAGTGGAGATGCAAGTATTTCAGAAAATATATATATATATATATATATATATATATATATATATATATATATATTTTGGTGCTTAAAAAATAGAGAACAATTTTGAATTTACATTTAAAATTAGGGAAAATTGCAGCTAAAGTACCAAACATTTCGCTTATTAGCAGATTTTTCCCAAACCTTTCATTTGAGCCATCTACGATACAAAACCTTTCAAATATTCTCACTTGAAGTCCAAATGGATGCAATGAAGTGCTTTAGTATTAAGATTTAGGGTTCTACTTTAAAACATGAACGTAGTGACGATAAGTAATACAAATTCTCATTAATGTTTCTATTTTTATTCGATGTGTTATTTATACTTTATATGTTAGTTAATGTTTTTATTTTTTTCGATGTAGGATTTATCCCTTATCACGTGAGTACAATATGGTGGCTCATTTGAGTATATCAATCTTGAAATTCATGTACTTACTTTGAGTCTTAATTTGAATGAATTATTTGTTAGATTTTAATGAGTGTTAATATCATATTAAGATTTAGATTCCATCTTAAAATGTCAGCTTCATAGTCACTGCAAGAAATTTTATTTTTAATAAAGAAAATTTTCATCTTAAAAAGGCATTTTTTGGATTGTTTTGTCAAAAAAGGATTGTTGAGAAAGATATCGAGGCAAATAAAAAAAAAATCATCGTTAAAGATTATATTTATTGTAATGAATAGCTCACAAACCCTTTATATGATATTTAGCTTCTATTTGATGGAGATTAAAATTAAATTTTTAGTAAATTTGATAAAATGTGTCATTAAAAATTTTTAAATTTCATAAAATGTGTGATTAAAATCAATTGTCAACTTTAACTTAAATTACTAACAAAAGCGTGTGCTGACATAAATAATAACTGTTGAGTTTGAATCCTATGTGGATTTTGCAGTCTCAAATTTACTTTTCTACTTCACGTGATATTATTTTTTAAAATAAAACATTAGCATCTACACATGGTCAAGTTGCAGGAATTTTGCAAAAGCTGACGTACGAAAAGAGAACTTACTAGTTTAGGATGTTTAATCATTCAACAATATTGTCATTAGATTTGACGGCGATGCAGTCCTCTTATCTATGTGGAGTGATATTTTGCATTGTCATGAAATTTTATAGTTACACATTGGTTGTNATAACTCTCTTGACGTTCAAAAGGCTTAAGGATGACTTTGACAGGTCGACTTTGGTCCAATTTCGATCAATAATGTTGGACTTGGATGAATAGTACTCACCTTTAGCGTCAACAGATTGTGGGGTTCTTTCAATTTTGTCAAATTTTCTTAGAAGGGTTTTGATGAGTCAGGTAATAAGACAATATTTTTTTTTTAGTCAATTAATTGTTATTGAAATAAAAGTCACATCTATGAGTAAGTTTGTCAATTTTATCAAATTCAAGACATATTTTATTTGAGGAACAAGCCATCCACCAAATTGTACTTGGTGGAGATTAGTTAAGCTTTATTATACAAATGAATTGAGCAAAGGTGGGGGAGGAAAATTGGAAGAATTTTTCTTACTTATATTTGAATTTTCATACGTTTTCAAGTGCAAACTGAATTATTTTTTGTTAAAATTTTTATAATTATCAAACTATTAGACTTTACCTCAGTTGGTGAACAAAATAAGAGACGTGGCTTTCAGATTGCTGCCACAGATTAAAATCAAATTTTTATTAAATTTTTATAAAAATTAATGAAATGTGTAGTTAAAGGGCATATGTTCCATAAAATTTGTAGTTAAAATTAATTATTGATTTTAATTTAAATTAAAATCTTGATTTTAATAATTACCAAACATGGATTAACCGTCCGGAGTCAGATTTCCTTTAGCTCCAAATAAGCTTACCTTCATTGTTACTTTTTGACATGACGTGAGCAGTGGAGCTTGTCGCCTTATTCCACAGGACAAAAATAGAGTGGCCAACGAGCCACGTCATGTGCTGCTTTTGACTTTGCTTCTTTTGTTTGGACTGATTGAGTTACACTTTTTATGAGGGTGTTTGGTGGGAATTAAAATTAAATTTTTTAATAGATTGTGATGTAAGTTTTTAAATGTGTAGTTGTAAAAGTTGTGAAATCAATGAAAAATGTGGTTAATATTAATTGTTTGATTTTAACTTAAATTAATATTAAATTTTAATCCAAACCAAACAAGTCTTGGCGATTTATAGTTACATTTAGACGATCTCACTTTTTTCAAGCGAAGATGGACTTTTCATAGACACACTTCCATGGACGCGAGGGGGAAAATCTATGTTAATATATCATAGTAACATACCAAGATCAAAATAAGTCGTTGACACACTAACCTACCTGTCAAAGTTACATAAGTTGATATTTACGTATTGAAAACTCATTAATTTTAGATTGTAATGAGATTTTGAACCATGTTTCTTCGTTAGAATGAAATCGGGTAAACAAAAATTCCAAGTTATCGATCTTTCACCAAAATTCCACTTGAATCGATTTGCCATAATTGAATCAATAAACTAATATTTGTCAGAATAGAGTCTCTTGGTCCACGTATGTTATTTCAATAAAATTAGTAATTCATTATGTCAAGAAATTCAAGTTGTTCAACATTTCTTCCTGTAATGCAACTGGTGCATTGGTCTGATTAGTTACATTATCATAACGTGTAATTTCTTCAATAATTAATTGGGTTACAAAGAATTACATCATTAGAAAATAAATAAGAACTAAAATTTCCCATAGCATTACAAAAAAATAAAATAAATAATAAATAAAATCACTCAAATTATATACTACGGCAGTAATAGGAAAAAAAAATCTCTGCCCTCACAATAGACTATCCACCATCAGCCTTTTGAAGAGACCACTTTTCAATGTACAATCAACAAAATCATGGAATTGAAATTCCCCTTTAACCAGATAAACAAAGAAGGAAATCTCATTGAGTACTTATATTTTCATATTTACAATTCAATTCATCCGATTACTACATGGATGAAGCCAATCCAAAATATGAACCATATAAGAAAATACCTATTAGCAAACAATCTTATTAGAACTTGATATGTTGTAAATCCTCTTGAAAGAGAAGGTGTTTCCGAAAACGTGACACAACTAGTGCACGGCTATTGTCAACTTGTGCCCTAAATTGTTGGGTTAAGTCCCACAACAAGCTCAATTCTTGAGTTTAGTTGCCATCGTTGAAGCAAGATTCATCTTATTTCTTTATTTTTTGTTCTTTTTAATTCATTCAGTTCATGACTAGTTTTGAGTAAGATCATCTTCAACCAACGCAATTTGCACTACAACAACTGTAAACATTCTCTCCTTGACCCGCCCTAATTTTGATTGACTAGCTCGCACAATGTCCTTTTTTAGAGAAGTCGAGGGGCTAAGTGACTCTTATCTCCCTCATTACCTTGTCTTGTATCCATAGATATGAAAATAAGTTCAGCAATGACCAGTTTATTGATTCCTAAAATGCAGGAAAGAAGTGTTGAATTCAGTATTTAACCAAGATATATATACAATATCAAAATAAATCCACATTATGTAGTATATACAACATTTCCATCCATAAACTTGTTGCATACACAATCCTTATTCAATTACTTTTTAAATGAAAATACAAATGGTCTTTTAATAGAAAAAGCAGAAAAATCAGTGATTTATAAGACCAAGCCAATGTACAAGTAAATGAAGCGTAAGGTACAATTATGTTTTGCCTAACATTTATAAGACGATTTGCGAGATGAATACAAAATTTATTATTAAATGATGACCATTTTATATAATAGAATGCTATTATATAATTGGTTGTTACAATACTTTCAAAATAATTATAATATCATAATATCTCTTCCGTCATTTGATATTCAATTGAATTTGCAAATAACAACTTTGTATATTTACAAAAATAATATTACTTATAAACAAAATAAGAAAATGTATATAATAAAGATTTATAAAATGTCGAAAGGGCTCTTCATATAAAGTATCAGTTCATATTCTTTGAATAAAGTAAGCTCCTGTTTGGTAGGAATTAAAATAAAAATTTTAATAGATTTTGATAAAAAAATTGATAAGATATATGGTTAAAAAGAGTAATGCTATTTATAGTAAAAACTATCAGTAGTCTTCAAATAACAAATCGACATCCGTATGCTACTTAGGGTGACTATCGGTAGTTTTTACAATGAATACCATTATTTGGTTGAAAAGTTGTGGATTCCATAAAATGTATAGTTAAAATTAATTATTGGCTTTGATTTAAAATTAAGAGCTAAGTACAACTAATTGTATGATTTCATCTTTTACTTCACAAAGATATTTTATGTATATCAAACTCATTTTAAAAGATGCATGGCGCAAAATTCAAAAGTGGATAGAGGTTATATATGATTCTCAAAACTAGAACTTGTAGAGGTTAGTGTAATTTTCTAAACATGAGAGGGTATCTCAAATATTTTCTCTTAATTTTGTTTATCCCTTTTTGGCCTCTGACTGACAAGATTTATAATCAATTATAAATGGTCAATTTTCATTTTTCAAACACATATTTTAATGGATCCAAAAGTACTATCCGATTATCAAAATTATTACGTACGCGCAATGCATGTTTTCTTCACTAGCTTTCCTTAAACGTCGAGAACAAACTTTAGTTGCATATTAATAATTTCATTCCATTGGTAATAATTAAAAGACAACGGATTGTGAAATAAAAACAATTCAACAACCAAATTTACTTTTGTTTTTCCTCTTGTAATTGAACATGGATAAACTATTAATCACAAATTCTTCTTAAATTACTATAATGATTAAAATATAAAATTTAATCACTAATTCCTTTCGGAACATGGTTAAATTGTTAAATTATTAATTCAACAGTCAAACTGATTTTCTACAGAAAGGACATACTAAAAGAGAACTCATTGTATAGAACTTTTCTTCCTTTAGTACAATATTGTGAAGATTTGACCATCGTACGTTGGTTTGTTAACTTTCTGCTTTCCTTTTTTGCTTAGGTTTGGGACCAGTTATGAAAAATTTACTGGAGTTTTTTATTCATATAATAAGAACTCTCCTTCAAGCGAAAAGAAAAACATTTTTCCGATATTATAAATTAATGAAATTGATCGAAATCAAGCAAACTGAAACATAGTAGAAATGTATAAAAGGAAAGCATATATAAATCATAAATGTAATAAATGATACTCAAACATAGGCTTTCATGATAACAACATAACATCACAAGTATGACCATGACATAAACAATCATCCTGGAAGATGATGGGATGAATCCTAGACAAATCCATCAATTTAATTCTATGAAATACTTAGTTGGAAATTGTAATTTTACGGAGATTTGGGTAATTCTGGCATTGTAGGTTTAGGTATTTCAGGTTGCTTAGGCACTTCTAGCTTTGGCAAAGTTGGAAATTCAGGCTTTGAAATTTTTGGTAGCTCGGGTTTTGGCAATGCTGGTAACTCCGGCTTGGGCAAAGGAGGAAGCTCGTGTTTTGGTGGGAGTTCTTCTGGCTTTGGCAATGTTGGAAGTTCTGGCTTTGGCAGTGTTGGTATCTCAGGTTTTGGCAACGTTGGAACTTCAGGTTTTGAAGCCTCAAGTTTTGGCATTGTGGGCAATTCTGACTTAGGCAATTCATGTTTTGGTGGGACCTCTGGTTTCGGCAATGTTAACACCTCGGGTTTTGGAATTGTGGCCAACTCGGGCTTAGGTAATTCAGTTTTTGGTGGGAGCTCTGACTTTGGCATTGTTGGGACCTCAGGTTTTGGCACTATAGGCAACTCGAGCTTAGGTAATTCAGGCTTAGGTGGGAGCTCTGGCTTTGGCAATTTTGGCACCTCGGGTTTTGGCACTATGGGCAACTCGGGCTTAGGTAATTCGGGTTCTATTGGGAGCTCTGGCTTTGGCACCTCGGGTTTTGGTGGGAGCTCCGGCTTTGGCAATGTTGGCACTTCGGGTTTTGGGGGCAACTCTGGTTTTGGCAATGTTGGATTCTCCGGTGAGGTCTCCGAGAGACGTCGTGCCTCAACTCGAAATGTGTCTCCACATATTGACAATAAAGCTATCAACAATAACAAGAAAAAAGGGGTGTGCTTATTGCAAGCCATTGTTCTAACCAGAAAAAAGTGACTCAAAGAACAGTTTTGTGGCAAATTGTTTCAATCTTAATCTGATAAATACATGAAACTGTATAAGCTCAAGGTTATATAGACATGGGATGTGGAGAAACATCAAAAAATTTGGCTGGGTAGGTTAGAAGAAGGTTGTGTTAGTTCAACTTCTCAATGTTTTTCCTTCCATTTTTATATCTGATAATTCACATCCTAACCATCTATTTGCCACGTGTAAATGGGCCCCGCTGGGATGAAGACAAATTAGAGTCGTTTAAAATTTAATTTGTCATTTGTGGCAATTGACCTCATCAAATCCATGAGAGTTTGAGGTTCAAACTGGTAGGTAATAATATCCAATTTTGACAGTAAGGGAATTGCTGCATTCATAACAAATAGACAAATTGTCATTGACAATGCATGCTATATGCAAGATGGTGGAGTAGGTGAGTGTGGAGGTCTTTGATCACGAGTTCGATTCCTCTTGCCAACACTTTCTTAGTCGAACTTGTCACGACTTGCTTAGTGCGGTTTACCTGGTGGGCTTGGTTTGCAGACTATTGCATTAGTCCAAGGGTTTATCCAGTACGCAGCTGAAGGGTAGTAGTTGCGGATTCCTCGTCATAAAAAAATGAAAAATAAAAAAATGATGTAGGTTCAATTTACAATAAGGTGAGTGGAATATTCAGTCGCTAAATTATTTATTGTGAGTTTTGACGAGTAGGATTTTATATTACGATAAGGTTAATCGACTAGACTTGTGCAAATTTGGGCTTCATGGTTAAAAGGATCAGCACATCTCAACAAACTTTTCTGTCCAAACGTTTTGAACGCAAAACTTCATAATTAATTCGTGATACCTTAAGATTTGGAAAAAAAAAAATAAAAATAAAAAATTGTTGCAATCAGAGCTACACTTGAGGGGTCTAGTCTAAGCGAAGACAAGATTCAACACGAAGACTAAATTCTTATTATGAGTAGATCTAACCTTCATATTGAATCGATAAGTAGTCGTTAGTAATCAAAACAAATTCTACATATTAAACCTCTGATTTATTGAAATACACGTTTCTTGAAATTATGAACTTACTTGTGACGTATTCAACAAATCTGAACTAAATTCGTTTGTGATGCAGGCGGATCGGAGGCATAAACAAGCAATACCAACTTTCTATTTTGTACAAACATTATTGTAGACCTCTAAAAATGGCTCTTCCACGTGGCCAACTTGTAGCTACTCCACGTATTCCTCCCTACGAAATGAACAAACTGTCAGGCGCACACGGCCGGAACCCACGATGGTGGCGGCCGTATACACTCCGACGGTCAAGTCAGGTTTGGGTGGTCGGAACAGTGCCCAGAGACTACACAAATTAATCAGTCAATAAAGGGGGAGGAGAATATATAAACTTGTTATGGAGTGCTATCTATTGAGAGTTTCATTACCTTTGCCTCTGGCCAATCTTTGGGTATTTATAGGTGGTATGAACCGTGGGATGTGGAACACGTGTATACATCTGACGGTATGAAGCGTCTGCTCATAGGCGTCAATCAGCCGCGCTTGTAGAGTGGGCGGACAGTTTGTTTCCCCCTAGTTGAATTGACATAAAGTTGATAAGTCACATCAAATAGCTTTATGGGGGACGTCACATCAATTTAAACCTTATATGCAGAGCAAATCTTAAATTGGCAGCGAATCTTCTAACGAGGGTTCAAGCCACTTGAACCCGACCTCGGAGACGGGACACTTCGGAAGATCGGTGGCAGGAATCGATGTATCACTTCGAAGAGGCTTCGGGGGGTCGGAGTGGTTCCGAGGCTCATAAAAAGAAAATCTGTTGACCTCCAAAAATGGCTCCAACAGGCACCCTCGCTTCGTCCCCTCGAAACCTTAACTTGTGAATTGAATTCATATTATAGAGAAATGATGTGAAATGGGCTAAGGCGGGTTAATGGGCCTAAGTTCGAGCCCAGTACGAGGTGAGCAAAGTGATAGGCACTTCGGCTAGGCGCCCAACACTAATGGCCCTAGCTCGGGTCCAATAAGGTGGCCCAATATGGAGTGATAATTCATAGGCGTAACAATTATAATTAGATTTTAAAAGAAAATCAACTCTAAAAAATTTATTTAGCCCTTGTTTGATCCCCATTTTGACAAAAATAACGCATTTTGATGGAGAATATGTGATTCAAAATTAAAAAAATAATAATTTAAATTTACGTATAATATTACTTTATTGAATAATGTATGATCGAAAATAAGTTTTGAAAAAAATGAATTTTTAGAAAAATGAAAATCAAACAATGGCTTAATTTTAATTGCCAGTTAGAATAAAGTACAAATTATAAGAAACCCTACTATAAAAATCTACATTTCAAATATCAGATTTAAAGTTTGTATATTCACAAATCAAATATTATTTTAATTATTATAAATCAATAATATTAAAAATATTATTATAATTCAATATTTTCAAACCCTAGGATCATTTTTTTTCTCCCATCTCCTCTTGTACCCCCTCTATTCTCTCCACCATCGGATTCTCTTTCCTCAGATCGCAACAATTGCCAGTTTGTCACGTCATCAGAGTGAAACAACAACGGGGACGACATGTTGCATTGTGCGACGTGAATGTTGTGGGGCGACTTCATCCCTACCACCGTTGGTGGCCGACTGGGCTGTTGATTTGAGGTCTGAGCCGGGCGTGGTGTTGGTTACCCATTGGTGAGAAGTGGAAGATTTGTTAGAGGTGATGTTTTGTAATGGTGGTGGCGACGTCGGATTGGTAGGTTGGGAAGCCCAGCTGCTGCTTCTTAGAGAAATCTGGTGTTGGCAGCGGTAAGCAGTGGTAGACAGATTCAGATACGGCTGCAATTGTGGTGTGTGATGTGGTGGTTTTTTATGGTTGTGGTGTTTCGTGGTGGTTGTGTATTGATTTTGGGTGGTGGCGACATTGTTAGGTTATCTTGGTGGTGGTCAGGGACAACGGATCCAGGATTTGATCCAAGATCTCACTATAAAATTTTAAATCGAGCTATTACGTGGAAAAAAATTTACATACAAAAAATTGATTTTTTACCCAAAAAAAATAAAAAATACATTTAAAAAAAGTTGTTGAGCCTAGGAGGCTACAGCCCTGCCCTGCCCCCTACCAAATCAGTACCTGGTGGTGGTTATGGTAGTGTGGAGTTGTGTGTTGTATGGTGGTGTTGCTATAGGGTGATGGAGTGGGGGGCGTGTGTTGTGTGGCGGTGATGTGTTGATTTTGTTTGAGATAGTGGTGTTGCTATAGGGTGATGGTTGTGGTGGTTCTGGCGGTGATAATAGCGTTGGTGATGTTGGATGAAGTGGTCGTTTGGTGGTGGCCACAGATTAACTGGTTGATTGTGATCATTAAATTGATTAATCTGTGACCAATAAGAAAGATAAATTGTGACAAAAATAATTTGTGACGTAGAAAATTAATAATTTGTGACCGTTTAATAATTTGTAACATATATTATTTATGTTCTGTAACCTATAAATAAATTGTGACGATAAATTTTTTATCTGTAATTGATGAACAAACTCTGACCTACAAAAGTTTTGAATTGTAGCCGTAAAATAATTTGTGACATTAAAAAATTTCGATTTGTGATCGAAAAATAATATATAACTAATTAAATTGTGAATCTGTGATCAAATTGTATAAATTAGTGACCTTAATAAATTTACTTAATAAAATATATAATTAATTAATAAAATTATAAATAAAATTTAATAAATATTTGATTTTTGAAATTTGAAATTTGTATTCCTACTTTTGAATTGGGTAATAGTTATCTTCTTAGTTATGAAATTTTCCCTAGAATAAAACTCCTAGTAAACATGAAATAGAAAAAGACTATTTAATTCACAATAAAAACTTTAAATAATAAAAATTAAATTTAAATGTACTAGATCTTTGCGGGGATGCAAAGCGAACCTAACCTTGGTCTTTGACATCATGAAGATAATTCCTAAAGGACGACCAAAAAAGGAATCAATCACGCATCTGAGCATGTCTGCTTTCTTGTTCTTAGATGCTACATAATATGAATTCCCTACGAGTATTCCTCCCATTCGTACCGATCGTCATTGGTTTCTTGGAGAGATCTCAGCCATAAAAGAGAGAGAGAGAGATCCTAGGCCTTATTTTGTAGATCAAAGACTATACGTATTCTTCTTGAGTTCGAGAAGATTAACCATTGAATCTCGCACCAAATTTCTAGCCATTGTCTTCTAATGACAAGTTACTTGATAGCTTAGCGAGAAAAACTCAATCTGCCAATTCATTGACTGCAAGTCACATCTCTTAAAGCATTTTCAATGACGGTGTGAATTGATATCTTTAAAATCACTTTTTGCGTCTTTATTTATATTCCGATGAATTTAAATTAAAATTTTGTTTCAATTGAAAGATCTAAATTCACTTTTTGTCTCTTGTGAATACAAAAAAAGTTTTACACTTTCTATCGAAAAAAGTAATTTGCATTTCCTTTGTATCTCTCGATTGGAGAGATTTTCGATCACTATGAAAATCTAAATCATAATTTAAATTTATTGTACACCACAATTAAAGATGTTCTTAGAATCACATATGGCATCTACCAATCAAGTGATCGCGGCCATCACCATCATGCGCATTCTCTTGGCCCAGCTTGTCCTCTCATTTGGCCCTCAACAACTTTGGTTACTTTGCAATAAACCTTCAAAGGACACGAAATATTATTTCTAAGAATTTCTTAACGGTCAATTTCAAGCCAATTTTCACCTTGTGTTGCAAAATCTGCCTTACATCTTTCCTTTTCCTAAATATTTTTGACCTTATGAAAAATCGGTACATAACGTTAACATCCAAATTTGAAAACTATTGACTTCAATTTCATCATAAAAATTTGGTTTGCCATCATAACCTTGATCTAAATATAAAGAGTCTTTTAGAAATATTCTAAGTAATAGGTCTCAAGAAATGTGCAGTAGGTAAAAATTGTGAGGACTACTGATTGTATAGATAAAATTTTAAAAATTAAGTTCGATCAACTTATAAGTAATTACAAACTTTATCAAACATACACTAAGCCTATATTTGGCAAGCGTTTATAAAGGGACAAAACCAATTTTTATAAATAGCTTTTGTGTGATTCATAAATATTATTCATTTATTCACTATTTTTATTTTTATTTATAAATGATTTTCATACATGTTTTTTTTAACAAATTGCACAATGTCACCTGTTGGGAATCCGTACAACAAAATGTTTACATTTCTAAAAAATTGATGTCTATCCATGAAGAAAAACTTTGGTGGGACAGTTGCGCCGTCCTGCGTGATTGAGTCTCGAGGTGGCCTCACCTCATTGGGTGAGAGTGGGCCACCCGATAAAGTGATGATTCCCTATTCGACGGTCACACCACGTAGGACGGTACGACCACCTTACCAAAGTTTATCTTTTGTCCATGGCCACAGCATAGTCCATTGAAAGGATCACAAAACAATAAATATAAAACGTGTTAATTAATTGAAAGTTTGAGGGTAATAATGGCATGAAAAATGGTAAGGGACACAAGTGTTATAGTGAACAAAGATTATGAACCTTAAGCTCAAATAAAATGTCGTGCAAGAAATAAAAATTATAGTGTGAATATAATTATCTTATATATATAATACACTGCATCTATTTTACAAATATAAACCTAATCCATTTAAAAAATAAAAAGAAAGGAAAAAACGGTACACGACACAATGAAGTGCTTGAAGATTATACCTCCTAGTATTATCATCGTCCCCCAATCGCAGCAAAATACCGCAGTTTACGATCCGACAAATAGGAGTAAACCTTTTTTTTTTTAGTTCAAGTCTTTTTGTTTTTATATTTTGTGGATGTGGTTGTGATGGAAATTTGCTTCAAGTTTGGTTTTTTCTTCTGAATGGCGCCATATACTTCAACTTCACATGTCCATTGTCGAGATCTATATGGGCTCTCAAAATAAGATGGCTCGTCGAAATTATTTTGGAGGCAAATTGTCCTTTGTGACTAGAAACTAGGTTGACTATGGTTATGGTTTTTATTAATATATGAATTAGGGTGTTATTGTGGTGTACGAATTGATGAATTAGGATTTTATATGTGCAATGTACATAAGTAAATGGGTGTAAGTTAGAGGTAATTTTTGTCATTTTATTTATCCCCATTTTAGTAAATAAAAAAACATTTAAAAATGTGATGTAACTCATAAAAATAAATGATCCATGTGTTGCAAAATTAAAGGTTAGGCATTGAGGTTTCCAAAATATCAGGTAGGGACATGCTACATTTCAATAGTTGCTCAATCTGTAATTTGGCAAAAACAGAATGCAAATGCCCCTTGATGCTAGGCTTTAGAAAATGTAAAATTTGCTTTTACTACTCTATTATTATTATTATTATTATGATCATCATCATCATCATCATCATTATTTTGATTTTTAATATGTTTAGACGCGTTTTCTTTAAGAACACATACTTATTTTGACAATAATTTTAACTTTACTGTCAAGACAACTTGCTTATTTTTAGCATTGACTAGTAAAAACCTATACATTTTAGAACTGATTTATATACTTGTAAGTAATCTTACAAGTAAAGCTTTTAAGTGCTTAGTTGAGCTTAATTTTATTAAACATGATTTTCGAATGTAAGTTCTCATTTAGAACTTAGTTTCTTGAAAAGTTTAGCTAAAATGAAGAAATGAATGTTACTTCTAAGCTTCTTTTTATTGAACATAAAATCATTTTATTACGAACGGAAATTGATTTGATAAGTATATCTTTAGTCTTATTTTTTGAAAAATGAAGTTTTGGTCTTGGTCAAACAAGCATCTAAGTGTGTGTTAAAATGTACTTACGTTCTATTGAAACTAAGAAATAGAAAATTCTTCCAAAGGATTTCTATATTTCGTTGTATATTGAACTATACAATGGTTCATCATTCTAAAGAGGAAGGAAGTCCAAAGGGTAACGGCTGCGAGTTTCTCCATCAACAAAAAAAAAAAAAACGGAAGTAAATATACAAGGTAAGGTCTTAATAATAATTATACCAATCACTCTTAATTATAGTTACGCACAAATCAATAGATATTCCGTCAACCTCATTAAGGTGATATTGATTGCATTTATACTAACATCATCCTCAAACTCAATTGGTGATGCCAAAGATGTCAATGGGAATTTGTAAGCCAAATTAATTTAGAGGTTTTAATTGCAAAAGGGGCATCATCTACTCTTGTAGAGAGTCCTAACGACATAAGCCACATGCCCACGAGAAAAGAATTATGCGTTCTTGGTTTGATTGATTAAGTTTCCGCACCTTATTTTGTAATCTACTATTTTAGTAAGTTTTGATAAAAGTTAATGAAATATGTGAATTTTATAAAATGTGTGGTTAAAACCAATTATTAATTTTGATTTAGATTAAAATCTAAATTTTAATTTCTACCAAATAAGAGCATAGTGCTTGTTTGAAAGTACTTATAAGTTATGGGTTAAACCGAACAAATGAATAATAAATAAATAGTAAGTTGTGAATCATACAAAATACGTAGATAAAAGTATGTTTGAATATTTTAAATTGGGTTATTCTTATTGTACATAGGGGGTACATAAGAATGTCCACCGACGCCCCCTATTAGAGGACACCCTTATATACTTGGTGATGTACACAAATAAAAAAATCCTTTTAAATTTAAAGCATAATTTATAATATGATATTAGGATCCATCCAAAGAATAAGAAAAAAAAAATGAAAAAATCTAAGGCCGTGTTTGTCTCTTGTTTATAATTTATTTATAATATATCAAATTATTTTTTTCAATAACTTTTGTGATACTCATAAATATTATCCACTTATTTATTTATAGCCTTTGTTTGGTGAGGATTAAAATTAGATTTTTATTGTATTTTGATAAAAATTGATCAATGTGTGGTTAAAAAGTTATGGATCGTATAAAATATTTGGTTAAAATTAATTTTTGATTTTGATTGAATCTACCATACAGAAGCATAATTTTAGGCTATTATAAAACGCCCAAACATGGTTTTAATGGACAAAACGTGATTTAAATGGACATTTCTCTTATTCTCCCATACGCTTCTCTCTCCTCTTATTGTTGGCGAAGATATATCCAATGGTGTGGTCCGTGTGGATCATCAAAAGTCTAAAGCTCCTTAACCAACGTCCCAGAATGGTAATTTCAAGATATCTGTCCAAATCTCTACGTACAAACCCCTATCTCTATTGCTCTCCTCTCTTCTTTCTCTATCTACATTTCTGTTTTTTTTTTAAATCTCTTCCTTTCCATCTGCAGGTAGTGTCATTTCTTCCCTTTAGTAGGCTCTGTACAGTTTCAACCTTCTTTTTATACTCAGATTCTTATTCTTTGCTGTGATCTATTTTGGTAAGGTTTTGCGTAGAGATTCTGTATTGTACTTGAAGATTTGCTTTTTCCCTTTCCTTCATTATTTATATCAAAAACCCATCTCTTTCTCTCTTCCTAAGCTGTACGAACCCTCGGAATAGTAATTTCTTTCTAATAAAACACTGGGGTTTGCAGTTGAGTGCGTACCGAAATGGTGAGACAGAAAATTCAGATCAAGAAAATTGATAACCTGACAGCAAGGCAAGTGACCTTTTCCAAGAGAAGGAAAGGACTATTAAAGAAGGCTCAAGAGCTCTCAACCCTTTGTGATGCTGAAATTGCCCTCATAATCTTCTCTGCTACTGGAAAGCTCTTCGATTATTCCAGCTCAAGGTCTCCTCTCTCTAGTCTCTACACTCACTCTCACACACGCTAAGCTTTATTATCTTTGATGAATCTACATGTAAAATTCTTGGCACTAAAAACAGGAAGATAACTGAAGGTAAAAACCCTAGTCGAAATTGATCTTTTGAGCCGATTTTGAACTCAGTAGATATGAAGAGATTTATAGATATATGAAAAGTTGGTCACTCACAGATCTTAGGTAATCATAATTAAGTGAAACTTATGGGGTAAGAAAAAAATTAGGGTATCATAATATCGTATGCTTTTTTTGATACAGTATTTGTTCAATTGAACTGAGAACTGAATACAACACAGAGAGACAATTAGATGAGAAATGCGTGTGTTCTTTTATCAATTCTTGATCTTCTATTTGTCATGAAAAATGGGACTTCAATTTCTTTTCTCGGGTATTAAATAAAACAGAATCTATGAGAATTACATTTTTTTTTTTTTTTGGGTGTGTTTGCTCTCTTTTCTACTAGTTTTCTTTTCCGTTAAGTGTTAATCTTGTATTAATTCTTGATCTACTAATTTATTTTCTTTATGTTGTTTCAAATAAAACCAATTACTGAATTTCATGACATTTTAAATATATTGATCACAGATACTCCTTAATTAAATTTATTGTGAGAAAATTGGAAAAAAAAAAAGAAAAGAAAAAGAAAACTAGAGGTTAATTGTTTTGTAAAATAGTAAAAATAAGAAATATGGTTCTGTTGATTGTAGATGTCAGATTGTTCTCGCACTTGTAGTAACACAGTATGGGCTGTGGTGTGTATGTGATCATGATGAGATGGTACATTTTGGAGTAGAACTACTTAATGTTTGTATGTAATTATGGTAATTAAATTTACATTCGAATTCTAAACTTCTTTTTTCTTTTTCTTTTTTTAATTTATCGTGAATATAACATAACCGCGTGTTTATTTTCTATGTTGTAATGGTTACGGCCTCATGGAATTAAGGAACATTGCAAGTTTTTAGTGTATTTAAATACGTTTTAAAATTTTCAATTCACTAGTTAGGTAGCAAATGAAATTGGGTTACTGATTACTTAGCCTTGTGGCTATCTAAGAACGTTTGTAATCCTGGATATTGATTAAGATTAGATGTCATAATGCCTAATCGTACACAGTGAGATATTGATTAAGATTAGATGACATAATGCCTAATTGAACGTAGTGAGATATTGATTAAGATGAGATGTCATAATGCTTAATTGTACATAGTGAGAATCGTACTTTAGTTGTATTTACAGTGGTAAAACCTATCGAATGCAATTCTACTTGTCATGGGAGTTAGAAATTCTCGTCTTCATTAACTTGAATCAAAGAACCCTAGTCAATATAAAAGATGAAACTAGCCCTACAAGAAACTTAAATAACAATAATATCCTATACTTCGTCAGACTCAAGATGTTAGGCATTAAGAGTTCGTAAAAAAAGAATATGAAAATGATCACATATATTAATTCATGCAATTTGTCACATTCATTATGTGAAGGTCCAAAGGCTAGACTCATTACTGTCATATTGACTTAATAATCATGTGCCACTCCATGTTTCATGAAGGAGCCTTGAATCATAAAAAAAAAGGACTTAATAATGCACAACTTGCCTTTCATTTGATACTCTCCCTCAACTTAAAAAGTTGGATTAACTCGAAATTCCGCCTCACATTGTGGTCGGAATCACTTGAAAATCCTCCTCCATGCAAGGTTGGAGACACCTAACGTCGTCTGTGTCAAAGAAGATGCAAATATGGTATTCAGTGTATTGAAATTGGTTTACAAAGAGGACAATATAAAGTACTCTAGACAGTGTAAAAGATGAAATTATACTTAATAAAGAATATGAAAAACAATAATATCTTGCAACTTGTACAAGTCCATTGTAACTTGTGGAATAACTCCCTTGTTTTATGTTGAACAAAACTCTTATTGCATATGTGCAATTTTAATTAGTTAGACCGTAATGCATGTAGTGTATGTTAGTATTTTATAGATTATAATGAGCTATGAGTCCTATAAAATGTGTGGATAAATAATGAATAAGAGCCGTGGATTTTACAAAATATGTGGATAAAAATAATATTTGATCGCTTATAATCTTTAAAACGTTTTGCCAAGCATACTCATAATATTCTTGAAGTGAGTACCATGCGTTGTCTTTGATGTCTAGTTATCAGTTAGAACTCCTTAGTTTGACCCATGGCTATTTCACATTATTGCTAAATGTGAGTTTTAGCCCCTTTCTTGGACACGAAGTGACTGTGGTAACCTTCTGGCTGAACTCAACCATGTTTGTTGATTGTTCTTGTTCTTGTTCTTGTTCTTGTACTTGTTTGTTTGTAGTTTACGTTAATATTTTTGTACACTCGACATTTCAAAGTCGAATTGAAAAGGGTTCCTCATAGCCCAATTAGTTGAAATTAGATACATGGTAATTGTGTTTTCAGCTTCCTTATGAAGTTCAATTAGTTCAGAATTTTGATGTCTCTTGTTCTTTGTTAAGCGTGAGGAAACTAATTGAAAGGTATAATCAGCATTCGGAGAGCTGTGGCATTTTATGCCAACCATCCGAGGTAAATATGCACATTTAGTTACAAGCTTATTCTGCATTAAGTTCCATATTTTTCTTATAGGTCAGTTTACCTGGACAATCCATAAGAAAACTGTCATCTGTGTCGTCTAAGGTCATGTCCAACAGGAATAATATTCTGTAACTAGAAGATTGTATGATTAAAAATATGAGAGAGAAAAATGAAATAAAATTTAATGGGGACCAAACGGGGCTCATTTATATCCTGTATAATAATTGAGTTTTTATCTTTACCCTTGAACTTTTAAAGGGAAAACCTATGAAAGAATTACCATAATGTTCACTTAGGGTTTTAGGAAATATTAGATACATTGCAAGTTTGTCTGAGAACAATGGGGCTGTCGGATAAGTCATATTTATTACATAAGCCATTACAGTGCATGTATGACTCAGCTTTAAAAAATTTACTTCTAAGTAAATTTTAAGATACAAATAATTCTTTTGCTGTTGGAAGTTTGAAAATAAGTAATAAATATACTCGAGTTCAAAAAAGCTAAGTTATCTAAATGTGTTTGTAAAGAAAAACTTACTTATAATAACTTTTAATTAAGCTTGGCCAATCAGTTGTTATGTTGAGAGTAACCCTGACTATCAAAATATTCTAAACGTGTTTGCAAACCAAAAAAAAAAAAAAAATGAAAAAACGTGACATAACACTAAGGTACTAGTGGCCTTAACATATCGAAAGTGCTTGTTTTTTCTACAATTCATTGTTAATAGCTGATTATGACTTCTAACCTTACATCTGTTTTTATACATTCTAGAGGGGAAATGGTGACCATGCCATGCTCAATAAGGAACTTGTCGATAAGACTCTCGAGTTAAGGTACGCTTCTTGCTGTCAAAGACATGCTATTATTGTATAATCATACATTTGGACAACTGAGATGCAACAATGCTTATGATAGGCAACTTAAGGGTGAAGATCTTCAAGGACTTTGCTTGGATGATTTGATGAAACTTGAGAAAATGGTCGAGGGAGGACTAAGCCGTGTAGTTAAAACAAAGGTAACTAATTTCTGCTACTATTTTCTTCTGCACATACGTACGATATTAACATGTCTAAATCATTCAATGGATTACAGAGTGAAAGATTAATCAAAGATATCAGCACACTCAAGAAAAAGGCAAGTCCTCGAACATAATTTTCATACTCGAGAGCTCTAAATATTTATTGGGAGATTTTTTCATACCACATTTGTGCATTCTCCTTGATGTTGATGAGTACTTGATGCAGTATATCATCAACAACAAGCATGGAGCATGTTTGTCTTAAGATTAATGTGAAGTAGCTTTACTTGTCACATGTATTCGAATTCTTTTAGAAGTTACCTTTTGAGTATTTTAGTTTGTAAACTTATTCCTTTCGTTTTAAGAGCATGTTTGGTTAGAAAATAAGTAAAAAATGATCATAAATATATTTTGATAACTTAATTTGATTCTTAGGTTCTGTTTGAACCACATTTTTTTCAAAAAAATACGTTTTTACACAGTGATTTGATATCATTTCAATGACATATTCTTCAATAAATTAATATTACACGCAAATTCAAAATTTTTCCTTATTTTTTAATCATACATTTTTCATCAATACACTATTTAAAAATGCTTCCTTATGAAAATAATGTGACTCAAACAAGACTTATTATTAAGTAAAGAAAGTTACTCGTTTCCAACTTTATCAAAATTTATTTATTATTAATAAATTTACTTATAACTAAACTTTTTAATCTTAGACAAACTCGCTCCAGATCATGTTTACTTTCCAAAAAACGTATTAATTTTCCTTTTGCTTAAGCTTCGCTAATCATGCTTCAATAAATTCGTGGTCGCACAAATGGATTCATTAAAATATGATACAATACATCGTGCAGGAATCAGAATTAAGGGAAGAAAATGCATGGTTGAAGCAGCAAGTAGCAGATGTAGAGTTTCCTCATTTCTTCAGTGCTTTGATGTTCATATATACTGTTGTTTTTATTCGGTTATCTGTTTAATGAATTCTTGATGCAGAAATCAGAAGGCAGAAGAAATGGTATAATCGAGCGAGGCAGTTCATCTGATCAATCAGTCCTTTGTCATCGGGACAAAAGCAGCTCCGATACTTCCCTCAAGTTGGGGTATGTTCGTTACAAAATATTTAAATATAAATGCATGGATGACTCTCTGTTTATTCATTATTAATAAAAACACGCTGCCTATGCTGGGTTAATTTTTTTGAAAAAAGCGTAAACTAGGTCGTGTTGGTGTGTTAAGGGATGTGTCATCCCACATCGGTTTAATACCGAAATAAATACCAATTTATAAAGATCTTAGACTTCTCCATTTAATAAGGTTGACTTTATTAAAATGGATCCCAAGTTTTAACATGGTGCTTCTTATGCCCCTACGAATCTCACACAAAAGGGCACCAACGACGACAGATTATTTCGGTATTTGGGAGCCTACAACCTTTGTGGACGTGTTTGCCAATCCTCAGTTCATGTCTGATAGCCAATTCTTTGTTGGATCTATAGTGCATATACGTTTATATAACTTTATTTATTCTAAATGCTTGTCTTGTGTGTCTATTTTTTTTTTCATTCTATATATGCTTAATTCTGATGTCAATTTTTGCAGCTTACCTTTCTCCAGCTGAAACTGAGAGAGGAGATAGCACTTTGGAATAAACTTATTTAATTTCATAATAATTTGTGTATAATTACATCTAAGAGTTTTTCATTCTTTTTTTTCCTTTCCTTTTCTTATATTCTGTGAAGAATTATTTTTCATCTGAGATCATAATTAATTTAATAACCTAATATATTATTAGGTTTGAGCATTTAGTTGAATTGGACTTAAATATCGACATACCAACAAGCTTATAAATGTTAAATAACAGTCATTGAATTATTATGATCAGCATGGGTATTCTTGATATCAAGGGTTAACCCTTTGCTTATTTACATCAAAAAAATGAGGTCATAAGTTGCTTTTATAATAATTTAATGAGAAAAACTTTAATATTTTCGATGGAGGAAAAAAAATCATTTATTTTTCTTGTTTATGAAAATAAATATATTGGTGATTATTTTGATAGTGATGGATCAACATATTTCCGTTTGGTTCCAAATAAAATTATAATCCATATTTTCACTTTATTCTTATGAATCACACATTTTTTTAATAAAATAATATACAAATTCAAAATTTATTCTTTTTAATCACATTTAAAAAAAATTATATATATTCCAAAAATTATAATCTCAAATAATGGAGACCAAACAAGGCCTAAAGCTAATTTAAATTCTTAAAAATATTAAAAACGTCGGCACTTTATATTATGGTAATAAAATTTCTAAAACAACGTCGTACCTGCATACTTAAAATGGTATAATGCATTGGGAGGTCGACATTTAGCTTCAAATGATTAAAACTATCAAACATTAAATTTGAGTTTTTTTTCTTTTGTTTGTTTTTGCCATATGGCCTTTGAATGATTTGAGTGACAATTTTACATGTAATTGCTCAAGTATCTTTATAAAATTACTAGTTATATATATGTCAAGAGAATGTGATACTAAAAAAAAAAGTGATAATTTTTAATCAAACAATATAATATTTAACTATTAATTTTAATAACATATTTTATGGGTTTCGCAATTTTTTAATTGTATGTATATTTCATTAATTTATTAAAAAATCTACTAAAGTGCAATTTTAATCCATATCACACGGGAGCCTAGTAAGTGTGATAAGTTAGGTAATATCATTGGAAGCTATTCTTACAGGCTAAAATGGTTCGAGAAATATGAAAACTAATATTTTCTTAAAAAAATAAATAAAAATAAATGTACAGGAGGTCATCTTCTAATTTATTAATTAATCTTTGGTAATTAAAAATTTTCATTCTGCTCATACTTCTTTACCTCTAATATGTTTGCACGTTTCTTCTTGCTCAAGGATTTTTCCTTGCGTACAAGGAAATATGTACAGGCGGTGTAAGGCGCCTCTTTTTTCATTTGTTGATTTTGCCAAAAGCCAATGAAAAAGGGCCAAGTGTCCGTGGTGTGCCTGTAAAAATTCTGTTAAATATTATTATTTTCTATAGTATATAGCATCACTCCTTGCACAATATGGTTATTGAACAATTTTTACAATAGAGAAGATTAGGCACGAATGTATGGTGTGCATGAAATTATTCTTTCGATTTAATTCCGCAAGTGTACGGTTTGCGACAAGAAATAAAGTAAAAAAATTGAGTTTGAATGTCGTCTTATAGAGATTGAGTAATTTAATTCTATCTAACTCGGTTTTAACTGAAACCAAATTATCAAACAAGAATTATAATAACTTGAATTAACCCTAGTTTAACCTAATATGCTAATATGTATGATTCAAATGAATTAAAATGCAAACTGACGCTTAGATGAAATAAAAATCCAAATTGAATGTTTGGAACGCAAATTGATGACTGATAAGTGTGTTTTTACACACTTATTTGGATCATAAACATGACTTAAACATGGAAAAAATGGTTGAATTGTGACTTAATCCAGTTAAATTTATGCATTGTAGGTAATTCAATGGAAATTGTGGAATTCAGGAGAAAAGAGCCGAAGAAGGACCAAAACGCAACAATTTGATAGTTCGAGGACCAAAGGTGTAAATATTGAAAAGTTGAGCTAAATGCAAAACGAGAGGGAAGACATGCCAAGTATGAGTTCAATGACAAAGCAAAATGAATGGAAGAAGAAAATATTGAAGAGGGACTGAAATGAAGACAATTGAAAGTTGGAGGACTAAAGCGCAAATACTCAAAAGATATGCCGAATGAGGGGCATAAGAATTGATGGTATCAATCATCAATTGGAAGATAAAATTTGTTGAAAAGATGAAGAAATCGAAGAAAGAAGTCAAGAGAAGCAACAAAGAAGTTCAGGGACCAAATTGAACAAACTACATAGATGGTTACCTCTATGCGACCGCATAGTGTAACCTTCTATGCGGTCGCATAGAGGGATCCAGGGATTCAATGTACCCAAATTTTTTGATCTATGCGACCGCATAGATTCCCTCTATGCGGTCGCATAGAGTTATTTTCAACTCTCGGGCGCAGTTTTTCGTTTTGGTTGAAACTCCTTCCCTACTTAA